GGATCACCTCCTTGGACCTGCTCGAGATGCATCTGTGGATGCATGACAAGGTGTGGTTGACCTTCCTGACCGCGTCCCCACACTGTCAGCCCATGTTCATTTTGGCATCAATAATGATTCCAAGATCCTTTTCTGCCTCTGTACTGACAAGAAGGGAGTTCCCCAGCCTGTAGGTATGCTGCTGGTTCTTCCTCCCTAGATGCAGTACCTTGCACTTGTCAGTGTTGAAGCCCATCCTCTTCTCATCTGCCCACCCCTGTAACATGTCTAGGTCCAATTGTAGCCTATTCCTCCCTTCTAGCGTGCCTACATCCCCCCACATCTTATTGTCATCAGCAAATTTGAACAGGGTGCTTTTTACCCCCTCGTCCAAGCCACTGATGAAGATGTTGAACACCGCGAGTCTGAGGACCGAGCCCTGGGGGACTCCACTGCCCACATCCCTCCAGGTCGAAAATGACCCATCCACCACCACTGTCTGGGTGCAGCCCTCCAGCCAGTTAGCGACCCATTTGACTGTGTAGGTGTCGACCCCACAGTCCCCTAGTTTTTTTTAATGAGAATGGATTGAGAGACAGTGTCGAAGGCCTTCCTGAAGTCCAGAAAGACTATGTCCACTGCTACCCCTGCATCTAAGGATTTTGTGACCTGGTCATAGAAGGCCACCAGGTAGGTCTGACAGGACCTGCCTCTAATGAACCCGTGTTGCTTGCCTCTAAGGATAACCTCCCCTGCTGGCCCCTTGTGGACATGCGCCAGGATAATTCTCTCAAAAAGCTTACCCAGGACTAAGGTAAGACTAACTGGCCTATAGTTTCCTGGGTCCTCCTTCCTCCCTTTTTTGAAAATGGGAACCACATTGGTCCATTTCCACTCCTCTGGCTAAACACCAGAGCACCACGAGAGCCTGTAAAGCCATTCCAGGGATCCCACAAGGACCTCTGCTTATTCCCTCAGCACTCTGGGGTGGAGACTGTCAGGACCAGATGACTTAAATAAGTCCAGTCCCTCCAGAAGTTCCTTGACTAGATCCTCACTGACCCTAGGCCTGGGTGCACCTCCCCTGGGTCCTGAGGGGGTCCCAGCAGACAGGCTGATCTGGTCCCTGCTCAGGAAAATGGAGGCAAAGAAATTGTTAAAAAGGTAAGCCTTGTCATCTGGTGCAACAACCAGATTTCCTAGTGTGTCTTGCAGAGGCCCCACATTACCCGGTACCTTCTTTTTGCCCCCTATGTATTTAAAAAAGGACTTCTTGTTGTCCTTGATCCAGTTCCATCTCCACCTTGGCCTTCCTGACCGCCCCCCTGCAGCCCCAAGCAACTGAGGTATAGTTCTCCCTGGTGATGGCCCCTCCCTTCCATTGGGTGTACGCCTCCCTTTTAGCTAGGAGATGTTCCTGTATGCTTTTGGTGAGCCATGGGGGTTTCTGCACCCTCTTGCCTCCTTTGATCCTTGTTGAGATTACCTCCCTTTGGGCTTGGAGGATTGTCTCCTTAAGGAACCACCTTGCGCTGGATGGTGAATTCCAGCAGGCAATGATCACCGTCGCCCAGGTGGTCAAGCACCCGCAGACCCCTCACCAGGTCGTCGCCCATGGCCAGCACCAGATCCAACAAGGTGTCTCCTCTGGTGGGGCTATGTACCTGCTGGGTTAGATGGAGGTCCTGTATCTCGGCTAGGAACCTATGTGAGTGGTGAGACCTGGCTGACTGCTCTTCCCAGCAGATGTCTGGAAAGTTCAGGTCACCCATGATGACCACATTTTTTGACCTAACTACCTCCATGAGCTAACTTAAGAATTCCCGGTCTAGCTCTTCCCCTTGGTTGAGTGGTCTCTAGTAGACCCCCACCACTAAGTTCCTTTCCCCTTTACTTCCTTGTATTCTAACCCAGAGCACTTCAGTGTGCCCCTTATCTGACCTTGTGCTACTAGATGAACATGTGTATTCCTCCTTGATGTAGAGCATCACACCCCCACCTTTCCTCCCTGTCCTGTCCCTCTTGTACAGACTATAGCCCTTGATATTCACTGCCCAGTTGTGCGTTGGGTCCCATCACATTTCTGTGAGCCCCACTATGTCTGGGTTGGTGTCAGCTAGCAGGAGGTTAAGTTCCTCCTGCTTTTTCCCCATACTATGAGCTTTTGGTGCTCGTACCCCAGGTCCCTTTGATTCGTGGCGCTAGTCAATTGGTGCCACCAAGCTTGTGGATGTGTTGCAGGGTGCTCATCCTGAGGTGGAGCACTTTACATTTCTCGATGTTGAACTTCATAATTTTGCTAGCCTGTCTAGGTCTACCTGTATCTGTAACCGATCTTCAAGCATGACCATGCTTCCCCATAACTTGGTATCATCCATGAACTTGGCCAGTGAGCTCTTCACTCTCACATGCAAATTGTTATTAAAGATGTTGAAAAGTACTGGACCAAGCACCGACCTCTGTGGGACACCGCTGCCCATTCCTCAACAGGATGACACAGATCCGTTCACTATGACTCTCTGGGTCCTATTCTGCAGTCAGTTTCTCACCCACCTGACTGTCTCAGAGTTAAGCCCACAATTCTCCAATTTTCTCACAAGGACATTGTGGAATACTGGGTCAAAGGCCTTTTGGAAGTCTAGGTATACAATGTCAACCTGCGTTCTCGTGTCCAGGTGGTGAGTTACCTGGTCATAGAAGGAGATGAGGTTGGTAAGGCAAGACCTGCCTGCAATGAAGCCATGCTGGCTGTCACTCAGAATCTTACCTTCTGCAAGCGTATTGCAGATAGACACCTTGATGAACTTTTCTAGGATTTTCCCTAGGATGGAAGTTAAGTTGGTTGGCCTATAGTTACCTGGGTCCTCCCTCCTGCCCTCCTTCTAACAAAATTAGAGTAGAAAAGTATACAGTGGATGCATCTCCACATGGGGTTAACACACAGAAATAAACTCCGGAGCATATTGCTCCAGATTTTATTCATGTGCAGCATGTGGAGCCCAGTCGGAGCAGCCTGGGCTGGTAGGGGACTTGGTCGCAGGGGGCAGGCCAGGCTGCCAGTCCAAGGCTGCTCTAATGTGGTTTTATATGCTACAGAGGGGCTGGTTGAGGCAGGAGGATGCTTTAGTATGGGGGGCTGCCTGCCGGTTAGCTCCACTCTGTGCCCCAGCCAGCCAGGGCAGCATCTACATGTATGCTGCTGTGCATGAAAAAACTCCACCACAGGTTAGGACTTCTGTTTACAAGTCCTAACCTGCTGCAGAGTTTATTATTTTCTGCATCCTGATAGGGATGCACATACAGACACTGATATGTTTACTGAGAAGTTAATTAGTCAACTTCAGAGTAACAGTATCATGTAGATGCACCCAGAAAGAAGCTCTAAGCACATGCACAGATCTACTCACAGCCTTTTCATTCCTAATCAGACTTTTTAGTTAGTCCCCAAATGTGGGTAACAGTATTACAATTAAATGCTCAAGAATTGTAAGGATTTCCAAGAAGCTGACATGTAAATACTTACCTGTCAGGGGAGATACCATGAAGTGGCTTTCAGACCAGGTGGTTTTACTTACCTGGCAGGGAAGATACCCTTTTTCTTGACCTTGAATGCCTTGGTGTAGTTAGAGGGTGAAGGCCTGTTCCTTGCACTACAGGCAGTGTACACATGCCTCCAAATGGGAGGATCTTGGCTACACAATTTATGGTAATAGGGGGTTGCTCTTGGGCTTTCCCTTTAGCTTGTTTCTTTGGCCTTTTGGCTATGGGAAAGCAAGACTAGCTTTCTGGGCTTAGGGCTTGTACATAGGTTGCCTACCATGGATTTGGGAGTATCATATCTGAAGCCTCAGGCTGAAGAGTTTGAGAAGGAGGATACTTGCCAGTGGTTGTACCACACAGACTTGAATGACTGAGTTCTTCTCAGTCATTAGAATTCAGAACTGATTTGGCTGATTTGGGCCAAGACATAAAATTAAAAACAAAACAAGGATCAGAAATTATATCAGGGGGCATCAAATTAATCCCCTCTGTGGATCTGATGAGGGTCATTGGGATGGTCTACTGAGAAGTTGGGCTTCATTGGACCTAGGACACAGGGCCAGTCCAGCAGGCCACAGCATGCAGCATGTGCCTTATGCCAGCCTCCTGTGCCACAATCAAAGCAAGCACTGGAGTGGGACCAGTTCATGTTGCATGCAACATTCTGCTAGATCAGCTGTGTGCCCTGGCTCCAGTTCAGCCCAAAGTCTCAAAGCCAGCATTCAAGGCCAGTCTGGTGTGGGCACTGCATGCAGTGCTTACCCCAGACTGACTCCCTGTGTTGTGTGCAGTGCATGTAACTGATCAAGCCCAGGCATCAGCCCAGCTCTGTACACTGCAAGTGGCTCACAGGGTCAGTCTTAAATCTAGGTGCTAATTCAAACAGCCAGAATTTCACTCACTGAGCAACACATAGAGTACTGTATATATATACGTGAGGTGTTTCTTGTCAAGAAGGTATTTATTAGTATATTACAGTATTTCCCTAACATTTGAAGAATTTAGTTTGTTGATCCAGATAAGCTATATCTACTTCCTCTACTCATTAGGCTGTCTGAAGCTAATTCCTTTTTTTTTAAAGTTTGAAGGTTTTTCCCTTTGTTTTCATTTCACGTCAGAAAAATAATAATATCTATCTATCTATCTATCTATCTATCTATCTATCTATCTATCTATCTATATTTGTGTGTGGGGGGAGAAATTAAAAAAGGAGGAAATTAATGAGGACACAAGTAAATAGCCAGAATATCCAATAACCTGGGTGCTTAGACACTCTCCAAAGATGGACATACAGTCTCAAATACTGACCAACTCAGCCACTCTCTGTTTTCAAGAGTAATCTACATCAAACATCATGCTTCCTAGAATCCATATACTGTAAAGCCATTTTCAGACTAATATACAAACCACACCATCCATCATCTCCTTATCTATCGAATCTCATTAGTGTTTACTTTAATCCCTCCGTCTATTCTTTTCATATATTTTTCCAAAGAATCTAGTAATTTGGAAACTTAGTTACAATTTTCAAAGCAAAATACATGCTTTAATTTCATAGCAGGTGTAAATGCTGCTTTTTGAAGCATCATTGGCTAACAGATTACTGGAACAATGGGAAAGACTTGGAATCAATTAGTTGCATCCCAGTATCCAGCATACCCTAGCAGCTTGCAGTTTTTCACTAGCAGTCTTGCTCGTGTATGAGCCCTGAGGGCACAAGAGGTTGGGTGATCATGTATGAGTGTGTTGAGTTCTTTATGACGGAGCACTTTGCTTGGTAAAGCATATAAGTGGTCTGTGCTTCACAATAGAAACTTAAGGGAGTCCTGGGCTTCCTGAGGTTAAAATAGTTTAAATTAGTTTTGAGCATTTTGCAAATTGTCACTTCTTCATCTCAATAGGGTGCAAAGAAAGCTGGATGGCCATCTGTCCCTTGTTTCAGCTGCCAGGAATCAGTCATGTGGCAGGGCTAAAGGAAAGAACATCTCAGTTATATTTAAAGGTACACTGGACATTTCACTGCAAGATTCATGCCAGTAACTGTATTTTAGGAAGCAGTCTGTCTGGAAAGAAGAATCTGAGGGCTGGTGGACTATTTTAGACTTAACTCTCCATGTGGATGTTGAGTTGAGAGTTCCCTAAGAGAGTTCTTTTGTGGATTAAAAAAAGAAAAGGTAGACTTAACACAACTATCCATACATTTAAAGGTCTAGCAAGAAGTGTAATGACCAAATTATCAGGTGAGAGAGTATTCACGAAATAACCTCAACGGGCGCGTCCACACATTCATGCACGTGCACTTGCAGCCACTCAAACAGAAGCAGTGCAAATTTGTACCGGGGCTTTTTGCCTCAGCACACGTGCTTGGACATGCACTTTGTTGAGGAACAAATTGTACCACTTAGGACAAAATAACGCTGCCTGGCTCCTCCTGTATCTGCAGCCAGGGGGAGCTAGAGCCCAGGATCAGCACGCAGCACTAAAAAAGCCACCCTGTCAAGTAGCTCAGGGCTACTAGCTCTCAGGAGCTTCTGGGGCCCAGCCAATTGGTAGCTGGGGACACTACCCTTTGTGCCAGCTGGACAGCTGAAGCAGCCCTGAGAGTTCCCTGAACCCTCTACCCAATGCAGCAGTCTGGTAGTGGGGGCTGTTGGCTGGCTGTGACCTGCTGTGCACCTGCAGACCGAGATGGGGACTGCATAGCCAGTAGAGGCATCTGCCTCTCTGGGCCAGCTGCCAGTGGGCTGTGGCTGCAGAGTTGGCCTCTGTGCAGCACTACTGCCATGTGTGCCCCCTGCCCAGCCACCTGGGCAGTAGGGCTGTGCGAGGCTTCAGATCGTGCTTTGGATCTGGGGCAACTTCAGACACTTCAGCAGCATGCCTGGAGCAAAGCACAGGCTCATTTAAGCTGTCTGAAGCAGCTGGAAGCTTCTGAAGTGCTTCAGAAAAGCTTTGGATGTTTTGAACGCTGAGAATAAAAGTTAGAAGAGAGAGGGGGTAAGGGCGATGGAGGGAGGGGGGGGAAGGGGAGCTGGGGTGGGGGAGACTGACATGTGTAGCTGGCCAGTGAGAAGGATTTCTTTCTGGCTGTCTTTCCAATGACAGTGTCTTGGGGGAGGGACCTAGAAATAGCATAAAAGCCTCTGTTTGGAAGTGTGCTGTGCCTTTGGTGAGCTTGTTCCTTCTCTGGAACGGAGTCAGAAAGGTACCCTAGCAGATTCTAGCATCTCAGCTTGGTTACTTTACTCAGTAGTTGAACTTGCCTACACCTTTTTGTTGTTAGAAAGGATTGGGTAGGATTTAGCTTATTTTAGCTTAGCTATTCAATTACTATTACTATGCAATTCATTTCTTTCAATTTATATTTGCTCTTTTTTTTTTTTTTTGCAAACTTTGAAAAAAGAAAGCTCAGTGCTTTCCCTGCCAGCGTGATCCATCACTGCGCAGGCAGGCAAACAGATTGCACACACACACTTATAATATACGCACATAGAAGAAGGAAAATCAGATATTCATAGGGGAAGAAAAGAGTCAGATTATATATAGTGGTTATTAGTTATTAATATTATTATAGTTAGTTTACATAGAGACTGAAGACAACACAGAAGTCAGATTCACATTGAGACTAATGCAGAACTCACTACTTTTCAGAGCTGGGCCTATGAACTGCGCTTCATCAGCCTCCTAGGTAGTAGGTACAGAAACTCATGGACTTAATATACACAGTGGATTCTGGCACACTGCGACCGGCCAGAGATCTGACACCCCAGGCACATCTACACTTTTACCTGTGCTACTACATCCCCCTTTCTCCCTACTCCCCCCCCCCCCCCACCCCCCCCCCCCCAGCCTGTCCCTCACCCCCTGATGCCTCCGTTTCAATTTTCACTGACTAGCTTTCTTGCCTGAGTTATTGGCCAGGCCTCTGGCTTCTTTACTACTCCTTCCATCCAGGACCAACTGCAGGTACTTCCTCAGCCTGACAAAGGGGATTTCAAGCCTAAAGCTTCCAAAGATACATTTTTTAAGTACTCCTTTTTTTTTCATAATACACATATAGACATAAAAACACAAAATAAGCCATCACACACCATAAGTAACATCATCTGTCCAACACAACACAATATCTTTACTTCTTGCTGTCAATTCCTTTATAAAAAGAAAGGCTGTGTGACAGTTCTGTTTGGGTACCTTTGATGCTGTTGTTGATGATACTGGTGTTGAGCCAGCTAAGTTATTTTACCTGTTATCACATAACGTGGCAGACTGGACATGAGGCTGTAGGGGAGAAGGAGGCCTCACTGGGGCACACTTCTGTGTTGTGCAGAGGCCCCAGTGCTAGGAAGGGTGCACCTTAACAGACACACACAGTGTTACCCACACATATCACTAGTTATGCCTGTCAGCAGCTTGAAGTGCAGGGCCCCAGAAGACAGGCTCCCCCAGCAAGACACACACACAGTTAGCAGGATTTGTGGCCTGGCGGGGCCCAGCACCTAGGCCTGCAGTAGATTCCACCCCGCTGTGCCCCAAGACAGATGCAGTCGCCCAAGCACCCAACCACATCACGAGTTTTGCCTGTTAGCAGCCAGAGGTACTGGGCCCCAGAAGGCAGACTTCCCCAGTGAGACACACACACACAGGTGGCATGCTTTGTGGCCTGAGCAGGGGCCACCACCCCTGCAGTTTTCAGCCCACTATGCCTTAACACACACAGGGTCATCAACATGAGTTTTGCCTGTCAGCAGCTTAAGGTGCAGTTTCCCCCAAACCACTGCACCTATCTTCCTAAAACTTGGCATGCTTTGTGGCCTCAGTAGGGGCCATCACTCCTGGAGTTTTCATCCCCCTGTGCTGTAACACGTAGACATGACATGAGTTTTGCTTTCACGAATTTGGGGTGCAGTTCCCCCAAACCCTGCACCTATCTTCTTGAAACTTATCAAGCTTCATGTTCTCAGCAGAGGCTACCACCTCTGCAAGTTTCACCCAAATCAGAGACAAAACAACAAAGTCATAGATATTTCATTGATCCCCCATGGCTGGATCTCCGAGGTGACTCCGAAGCTTCGGAGCCGCTTCAGCCGGATTGAAGAGGCAAACCAATCCAGAGCTCTGGATAGGATTGCTGACATCTGAAGTAGCTAGATCTGAAGGCGGATTGAATACATGCCTACTCGCGCAGGCCTACTGGGTAG